CTCAAAGCTCCTAAGACTGGAAGGAAGCCTTCTCCACCCTGGGAGGGAGGGGAATTGTTACTGGGGAAACTCCTAAGAGTTTCAGGAAACTTCAACCCCTAAGAGTTTAAGGAAGTCAAAATGCCAAGCCTCATCCTCTGCATGTGGGAAAATTATCGTTGCCTGGAGGATTGCTCACACCAGGAAAAAAATCACAGTACTGCAGGCCCTGCAGCAGGTCTGGGGGTCCGAGATAGAGGAGAGGGGTCTGAGAGGGAAGTTCACCTGCACTTGCTCTCCCTACTCCTCTGCAGGGGTGAGGAGAGAGGGTCAGAAAGGCAGGCAAAGGAAGGGCTGGTGCATCCACACCCAGGGTGGAAAAGCTGCCAGAAAGGAGTACTTTCGTGTCTTAATCAGAGTCTGCGGGCATCTAATCCCAGCCCTGCCGCTGGCCAGATTAGTAAACCTTGTCAAGTTTCTTAATATCTCTGAGTCTCCTCATATGCAAAATGGAAATAGTAATTACCTCTGTCATAGGGTTGTTATGAGAAGTTATGATAAATTACCACAATGTCTCAAGCTAAACAGCAAAATTATCAACAAGCATGGCGGGCCCATGCCAGAATTTTTGTTTTAATTCGTTAATAAGAGAATCAGCAAGGAAATTTTTTTAAAAAACTGATTTGAAGAATATTTGAGAATATCTAAAAACAGTCAGGAAAGGAATGCCTAAGTAAGATTCTTAAGTTAGACATATGAATCTTTTGACTTTTAACAGGGTGATACAAACTATATCAGTTTTGTTTTTAACGTATTGACCAGGTTGTAAAACTATATTGCCTTATCCAGCAGGTGTAAGCTGTCTACTTCTTTATCTGTTGTGAATTGTTAAGCAAACATACTTTACCAACAACCACTTTTCTCAAAAATGTCAGATGAGGACAAGTAACAAGAACCTGCTTTTATTGAGATGGACTCCAGCATGAAATCAAAAATATATGCAACTGCCGTTTTATCTTTTTCCAGATTTGAGATGATTTATTTTCTTTCACACTGACACACAGCTGGAGCCCGAAACATGTTGGTAGCTTTCCCTCCCCTCTTCAGTCCATTTGCATTCAGACTGAATTCCCACACTCAGGAGCCAGAAGACGGGCTGGGATATGGACCCAGCCAAGATGGCTCTGGGTCCCAAGTGGAGCGACATAGGGGAGAGTCTTTTTTCCATTGGAACAAGCTCTTTTGCTCCCCTGCTAGAAATCAATTGCCTGATTCCAGACCCTCTCCCTGCCTTTTAGGACCTTTGTCACAATGACTAGGAACACAGCCGAAGTCGGAGCCTTGGGTGGAGAACCTGGAAGGAGAAGCGAGATTTCAAACAAGTCACCCTTACAGGCCCCGGAAATCGGAGTGGCCGGATCTGCCTCAATTGGTGAGCCAAGGTCTCCTGTGTAGGCTCAAATGTTGCATGTGATTTCCTGCTAAACTACTTGTTTCTTAACTTCCCACTCCACTGTTCTTCTTTTTAGCTGGGGAAACAGGAAACCAAATCACCTTGCTCTGGGCCACAGTCCTGTCTGACTCTGCCCAGTAGTTCCTGTAATGGGCACAGTCTTATATGTAAATGATAATCTCCAAGCCTGCCTCCTCCAGGAAGCTTCCAAGGACTGCCTCCCTCACCGCTCCTGTTCCCCAGACTGCCAGTGACAGCTGGGCCACCTCCCCTGCCCAACCATGATCCCGGAAATCAAGTGTTGGTGGCTCGGCATTGACCCAATTCTTCACAACCAGTGGCCCATCACTCCCAGTGAAACGCCAAAGGGTGCTCTGGGCCACTTTCCCCACGGCCCCTCTGGGTGGGCTCAGAGAAAGAGACTCATTGGACTTTCAACTAAAGGCAAACAGAATTAATAATAGTAATTCTTCGCTAAACAATCTGTTAGCAGCACATTGGTGTATTTTTAAGGGGGACCCAAGGCACTAGGGTGTGTTGGCCCCCACCCGTACTCTGACACACAAACACACAAACACATATACCCACCGCCGTCACCACCACTACCAATGTGGACAACTGAGAGGCAGAATCGGGGTGCTCTCTCCTTTTGTGAATTCCTTTATTATCTTTTCCCATTACATCCCTTAAATGTTGAGCGAGACCTGAGATGTGGCTTGGCAAACCCTGGAAATTTTCCCATCTCTTTTTGCCTGGGCCACCACATCTGGGCCAGCTGCTCACCTTTGGACTACGTGCCTGAGGAAATCATAGCAGGATCACTGGGGTGCCTCTCAGGGCTGCATAATCCCCATTCCTGCAATGTGGAGAGCGTGTTCCATGCTCCTGACTTAGGTGGGAGCTTTGAGGGATGGACAAAGATTATCCTTTAGCAAAACTGAGAAGAAAGCAATTTAATCCCTGGGCCTTCCTACTTGCCCCAGCAGAAGCCCATCTCCATATTCCGATGCCTAGATCCCCCCATCCCGTTTTAGATCCCAATCTTAACTTTCAGCGGCTGCCAGCCATTTCCACCAGTATGTTAGCAGATAATAAAACTGGCTGGTAATTAAAGTTTTGGTGAATGAGGGTTTAAACTGCTACCTTTCACATCTGCACTACAATGTTTATAGCAGCACAATTCACAATTGCAAAGATGTAGAAACAACCCAGGTGCCCATCAATACATGAGTGGATTAATAAAATGTGGTATATGTATACCATGGAGTACTATTCAGCTATAAGAAACAATGGTGATCTAGCAGCACCTCTTGTATTCTCCTGGATAGAGCTGGAACCCATTCTACTAAGTGAAGTATCACAAGAATGGAAAAACAAGCACCACATGTACTCACCATCAAATTGGTATTAACTGATCAACACTTAAGTGCACATATAGTAGTAACATTCATTGGGTGTCAGGCAGATGGGAGGGGGGAGGAGGGGATGGGTATATTCACACCTATTGGGTGCAGTGTGCACCATCTGGGCACTGGACACACCTGAAGCTCTGACTCAGATGGGGCAAGGGCAATATACATAACCTGAATATTTATACCCCCGTAATATGTTGAAATAAAAAAAAAGAAAAGCTGAAAATATTAAAACAAATTGGATGAAGAGAAAACTAAAATGTAGGAGAAGATAAATGGAAGTTCAATATAAAAAAACAGGAATGAAGGCCTTAAATAGATCACAAATTCATAAAAAGGAAAAATAATATTTTTATACAAAAGAATTTGTAAATTTGGTCTTTACAAATGTGAACAAAAAAAACAATGTTAACATCGTATTCTATATTCACTAATAATTCAGTGTTTTTAAATTCTTTTTATTCAAAATCAAAACATTATATAATAAACTTATGCAGATTTATTTGTTTAAAATTAAAAAATAAACTGCTACCTTTCCCTGTTCATGTGCATTTTAATATGATTAAATTCTACCACAAACAAAAGCCTAGTGATCTGAAGTGTGTTGTCTTCAGCACTGAAAGCCAGTTAATCTAAGTGGCATTTTGTTAATGGTGGGGGAAGGATTTGCTTCTCCTAAAATCCTGAAAAATTGGAGCCCCTCCTCTTCTCTTCTTGGGCACGAAGCACACCTGGCTTCTCCAAAGAACACTTCACTCTCACCCCGTAGTTGGGCTCCTCTCTTCAGCCCATGTTCCTGGGGTCCCAGACACAATAATTATCCCAAAGAGGGTGGAAGGCTCCCTGCTGTGTTTATGTAGTGGCTCAGGGCCTTGTGCAGTGCACAGGGACCCTGAGCAGACTTTATCTCCCAGGGCACAGTGCACCCCAGCTTCACAGAGCAGGGGAGCCGTGGAGGGGTGTGGGCAGCAGGGCAGGAACTGATTTAGCCTTTGGTGACCATGTCCCCACAAAGATCCACCCACCCATCCAAAACAACAACAACAACAACAACAGAAATTCTCCACATTAACCATTACTAAATACTAGCACCCAGGACAAGTGTTCTTAACCTTTTTGAGGTCTTTGGACCCTTTTGAGACTCTGGTGGAAACCATGAGGGAATGTTCCTATATGCACACTCTGGAATGACGCATTCAACTTCAATTCCATTTTGGAGATATACAGACAGACAAGTGAAGAATCCTGGTTTAGTGATTCTGGCAATAGCCCCCTACCCTATTCCCCATCATTAACACCGTTGCCCCAGCACTCAAGTGTAGGCAACATGGAAACCCAGTTTGGGGGTTAGGTTCTAGTCAGAGGTGCCCATTCATCCTCTGGCCTTCCCATTTTACCAGGGCCTTGGAAAAATCCACAGATGTAATGATTGGGAAGCTATTTTAGATAATTCAGTGATCACAAGAGCATAGAATCCCACAGGACAGCATTTGAGTAACTGATCCTTTGAGTTTTATTAATGTTTTGATCTATCTGTCCATTCCTTTATTACTTAATCGAGTTGAGAGATTGGGAGTGCAGAGAGAGGGAAAGCTCCAAAATCCTTGAGAACAAAGTATAGGTGTGGGGCCAGGGGGCTATCCTAGCTTTACTTAATATAGGACTCTAAGCATTGTCCGCCTAGTCGCACCACACACAGAATCAGTTTGTCTCTGCGTGTCTCTCTCTCATGCACACACACACATACACACTCCTATGTAGTTATCACCCTAATTTCCCAAGAGCCACATCTAAGACATTTAGCCACATCTAAAATTTAGCTTAGAGAACAGTATCAGTTTTCCTTACAGCACCTTGTTCCCAGATAACCTGTTTGGGAACTACTAGTAAAATCATTGGCTATAATGTCATGGACTTTTCAGAATCCTTAAGTCCTAGAACCAGGGACTCAGGACTGTGGAGCTGGAGGGGACTCAAGAATAGTTTGGGGAGAGTGCAGGGTGGAGACCAGATGAGGGGTGAAGAATGGAAGGCTCGTGAGAGTGGGGATGGGGACGCCGGAAGTTTCTTTTTCTTCCTTTTGGTTTTCCAACCTCCCTTCTCCCCCAGGAAGCTAATCCCACAAGAGAAAGGCAAGAGACTAAGAGAGGCCTGAGGTATCGATCACTTTATTATTCTACAGTTACATGTCCAGGGGCCCAGCCCCTGGGCCCAGCCCCTGGGCCCAGTTGCTCTGCTACACTTTGTGGATGTCTTCATGGGCCGCCACGCCTAACTTTATCACAAACATGAGGAACTCCTGGAAGTTGATTGCACCATCGCTATTGATATCCAACTCTTTGAACCAGGTGTTTGCATCCTTTTTCTGTCAAGGTTGAGGAGGAAGAAGCCAGAGTGTAAAGATCTCAGAGAGAGCTGAGGCATGGCCATCTACAGCGGGCAGCTTGGAGGACCAGTGACTCAGGGCACCATCAGAGCCAGGCAGAGAGCCCCAACCATGCCCAGCCTCCCCATGCCCTCACCTTCATATACTGAGGACACTCGGTTTCCAGCAATTGCTTTAGGTCATCGATGTAGATGGCGTGGTAATTCCCCTGCCGCAAGGAGTATTTGTGGTATACGTCAATGAATGAGTCCAAGGCATTTTCCAGGTCGGTCAGCATGGTGCCCAAGGAGTTGCTGCACCTGAAAGAAAGAACCACATGGGAATCCCATGACAGGGACGCTGTATTTGCCCAGGGCAGAGTAAAGGCTAAGGGGACACTCGGAGGGTGCCTACCCCGAGTGATAGCTTTGTTCTGGCCTGTGCCACCCAAATAATCAAACCCAGCAGATGGCTATAGCTCTGATGGGAAGGGTGGGATGATAGGGGTACAGGTGTGGGAGGCAGCGAAGTCCACACACACACACACACACACACACACGTACGTATGCACACACAACTCTTCTGCAGCCCCACTCTCTCCTTGAGAAGGGCCCAGCTTGGGAAACAAATGTGCCTGCACCCCCTGGAAAGTGCTAGAGAACTCCACTCCTTCCTTATCCCTGTCTCACTCCGCTTCTCCAGGAGAACAGGATCTTTGCTCCAGACCTCCTTGGGCCATCTCTTTCCTCAGGGCTGCTTCACTTCCCCAACCCTCCCCAAAGAAAGCCCAAAGTGTGGCACAGACCTGGCCAGTCCCACTTACCAGGTCTCCTGAAAGTCAGTTGACAAAAGACATGCAGGGCTGAGTGTCAGCTCCCTTTTATAGCGGGTAGGCTTGGCCAGCTGCCCACAGCCTCAGGCCATTCAGAGACAGCTACTCCTTTTCAGAGTTGCTACAGCCTCTGGTTTCTCAACCAGGTAAATGTGGCAATCATGGCACACAGTGAAAATTTCTGATGGGTGGGGAGGTGAGGGCAGTGGAAAGAGGAAGGCATTTGCTAGGCAGTAGCGCCCAGCAGGAGAGACCAGGAAAAGAACGTGGGCGGCACTCCTTTTCTTGGCAGCTGGTATCCACTCCCTTGGTCCGGCCAGACTCCCACTCCTGAGCCCTCCCCACTGTTGCTGTTGCTAATCCTGTGCATTTGTGGCCAGTCCATATACCTCCGAAATGGAGTTGAAGTTGAATACATGATCTTGAGTGTGTGCATATAAGACACACATGTGCCTCCATGGCTTCCAACAGAATCTTAAAAGGGTCCAAAGACTTCAAAAAAGGTTAAGAACACTTGTCCTCGCTGCCGGTTTTTAGTAATGATTAATGTGGAGAATTTCTGTTGTTGTTTTGGGTGGGTGGGTGGATCTTTGTGGGGACATGGTCACCAAAGGCTAAATCAGTTCCTGCCCTGCTGCCCACACCCCTCCACGGCTCCCCTGCTCTGTGAAGCTGGGGTGCACTGTGCCCTGGGAGATAAAGTCTGCTCAGGGTCCCTGTGCACTGCACAAGGCCCTGAGCCACTACATAAACACAGCAGGGAGCCTTCCACCCTCTTTGGGATAATTATTGTGTCTGGGACCCCAGGAACATGGGCTGAAGAGAGGAGCCCAACTCTAGGGTGTGGGTGGGGTGTTCTCTGGAGAAGCCAGGTGTGCTTCATGCCCAAGAAGAGAAGAGGAGGGGCTCCAATTTTTCAGGATTTTAGGAGGAGCAAATCCTTCCCTCACCATTAACAAAATGCCACTCAGATTAACTGGCTTCCAATCCTGAAAATTTGTCATATATTTCCCATTTCTCATGTTACAAAGAAAAAATTTGTAAATTGTATACCTGATAAGGGATTAATATTCAGAATATAATAGAACTTCTACAACTCGAAAACAAAAATAGCCAAACAACCCAACCAATAAATGAGCAAAGGACTTCAACAGACATTTTTCCAAAGAAGATATACAGATGGCCAATTAGCACATGAAAAGATGCTCACCATCACCAATCACTAGGAAAACACAAATCAAAACCACAATGAGATACCACCTCACACCTATTAGGATGACTACTATCAAAAAAAAAACTAGAAAATATCAAATGTTGGTGAGGACATAGAGAAATTGGAAGCCTCACGCACTGTTGGTGGGAATATAAAATTGTGCCACTGCTGTGGAAAACCGTATGGCAGTTCCTCAATAAATAAACAGAATCACCATATGATCCAGAAATTCCTCTTCTGAGTATATAACCAAAAGAATTGAAAGCAGGGATTCAAACAGATATTTGTACACCCATGTTCATAGCAGCGTTATTCACAACAGCCAGAAGGTAGATGCAACCCAAGTGTCCAACGACAGATGAATGGATAAATAAAATGTGGTGTATACATGCAATGAAATATTATTCAGCCTTAAAAAAGTAAGGAAATTCTGGCAGATGCTACAACATGGATGAACTTTGGGAGCACTATGCTAAGTAAAATTAGCCAATCACAAAAAGACAAATAGCGTATGATTCCACTTATATGAGGTTCTTAAAGTAATACCTTCATGGAGACAGAAAGTAGAATGATGGTTGTCAGAGTCTAGGGGGAGAGATAAATGAGGAGTTGTTATTTAATGGGTACAGAGTTTCAGTTTTGTAAGATAAAAAGAGTTTTGGAGATTGGTTGCACAACAATGTGAATGTACTTAACACTAGTGACTGTACACCTAGAAATGGTTAAGATGGCAAATTTTATGTTATGTGTATTTTACCATAATTTTAAAACATTTTTAATTCTTAAATGTTTTCACCTAAAAAAAATCTACTTCATAGTGTTGTTCTGAGGATTTATAACAGATGCAAAATATTTATGATGTGTGGACTTTTTTACTTTTTTGTTTAATGTCAAGACTTTTGATATACTATGGGCTTTTTCTAATGTGTATTATATTTTAATAAAAGTTTACACAAAAAATATGTGCAGTGCTTGAGGCGGTGCCTGAGCATGCGCAGTAACACTGCGGAGTGTGAGCCGTGATCCGGGCCGGCCTGCGCCCCGCTCTCCGGACCGTGGGCCTTCGGGAGCCAGCACAGGACCCAGCACACACACAGCAACGACCACGATCAATAATCAGGACAAATCATGGCAAAGTCATAGCTAGTGTTTATTGCATATTTACCACGTGCCAGGAACTATTTTACTTTGTGCTTTACTTTCATCGATCCATTTAATTCTCACAATAATCCTGGGAGGTAAGTACTATTATAATTCTCATTGTACACCTGAGGAAACTGAGGCCCACAGAGACTCAACACTCAGTGCATCACATGATTGAGGTGACTCGTGATGTGATGTGACAGCATCCACTTCCTGTCCCTGCCTGGAATGCCTCTTTGTCCCGGTAAGGCCCTCCTCATCCTTCCTGGTCCAGCTGGGGCACCACCTGCCCCAAGTCCATCCCTGATGCTCCCCCCCCACACACCAATACAGAGTTAATTCTCTCGCTGTCCATCACAGCATCTGCCCTGCTATACTGCAATTCACCTGTTTATTATCTGTCTTTTCTTTGGGACATAGAGCCCCTTTAGAAAAGAAATCACATTTACTTCCACACCCCTAGGGTGCGGCACCTACTAGGTGCCCAGTTAGTACTCATTGAGGGGAAAAAGGAATGCAAAATGAACTTTTGGGCTTTCCCTTATCCAGTGCGGAAATTCCCCTTATCACACCCAGCCACCTTAAATCATTTTTGGAAGAAGGCAGGGTATAACTCATTAACCAAATGCAGTCTAGCTTCCTTGACAAGAGGTGAATCAGCCTCTAGTGGGAAAATAGGGCTGTTCCTGACATATAATGTAACAAGTTTTCAACCAATGATCAGCCCTCGGTTCGTACTTACTATTCACCAGGCACCATCCTGCATGACCTGGCATAACAGCACCTTACCCCATTACATTTAAGTGTGTTTACATCCACTGACTCACTTGATATGCCCAGACACCTTGTGAAGTGGACAATACAGTTATCTCTATTTGACAGATGGGAAAACTGAGGCATGTGGAGTTACTCAAAGTCCTTCGTCAGCTCCACTGAAGGAGACTAAAGGCAGTCATGAGTGATGACTTCCTGCCAGCATCGTTTGCTGGCTAACCAGTGAGATCATCAAACGTTGCCCCCAGAAGCACTCCCCCTGGGCAGGAAGACTTGGGTGCTTTGGGGAGAGCAGGAGCCGGACTGAGCTGATCTCGCAGAAGACGGGTGTCAGGAATTGGGTAAGCGTGTTGGGGGAAAGGCAGAGTCTGTCATCAGCTTGATGGACATGGGGCAACCTATGGGGAGCGGAACCTGGTCATGTTTACAGGAAAGGGCTCAGTCCCCAGGTGTGTCCCAACAGCCCTGACCAGGCCCAGCCCTGAGGCTGAGGAAATGAGGACAGAGCAGGCAGAGCTGGTGGAGAAATCCTCAGGAAGGGGCAGGAGGGAGGTTAGGAGGACTCAGGTTGGGCGGTCTTGCTTAGTTCTCAAAGCCTGTGCACCCCAACACTCTTCAGGGGAGACAGGCAGGATGATTTTTCCCCTAGGCCTTGAGGAAGAGTGGCCCAAGTAACCCAGGTGACTGTCTTCATGCCTCTTCATGCATCACGGGCCCCAGAGGACGGAGCATAGATCTAGGTGGCCCATTCCAATCCCACAGGCCCCCATCCTGCATTCCTTCCTCAAACACCTGCTGAGGATGTGCAGACAGGTGCAGGGATGCTGAGACCCTGCCTTGGTGGAGGACACACAGTAAAACACAACTGCAGTGCAGCAGAACGTGTGCCTCTGCAGTGGACGGTTCAGAGGGAAATGGAGGCAGAAGTCTCCCAGAGCAGGGGAGGGCCTGGCTGAGTCTGAAAAGCCAGCGTGGGGACTGGTGAGTGTGCCGGGACAGCAGGCCGGCCAGAGAGCAGCAGGGGCAAACCCTGCTTCAGAGCCTGGCCGGTGAGAAACGACGTCTCCCAGGCTCAGCTCCCCAGGGCCATGCACCGTGTTTGGCACACAGACCCAGGCAGGGAGGGAACCAGACCAAGTTCCTTAAATGGCCCTCCGGTCACATGCATAGGTGAGCAATGCCATGGTCTCCCATCATTCATTTAAAATGCATCATTTCATGGCAATAAGCTGAGGACACCGGTTCCCAGACAAAGCCTCTGAAAAGTCAACCCACCAAGGTGGGCTCTGGCAGTACCTGAAGGCAGGAAGACCCTCCCTAGGGATTCTGTGTCAGACTCCTGGGCTCCCAGGAAGAGGGAGAGCAAAACGACACTGAGAGGGGCAGGGGCAGGTGTCAGATGGGAGGGCTCAGGGACCAGAGGAGGACTTGGATCCTCGAGGCACAAATAGCCCTGAGTCAGGAGCAACTCCCACCTCCATCATCGTGAGGTGTTAGTAAACACCAGCCCCAACGCTTCTCTCCTCTCGGAAGCCTTCCTGGGTCACCTGTCACCCAGGTTCCTCATCACTCTTCCCATGACAGGTGTCTGCGGTTCTGCCCGGCTGGATTGTCGGCTTTGCCCTTGTCTTGGTCTCTGACTCAGCCGGCACAAAACCCTGTGCACAACCCTCCCTGGCGGACCGGCTGCCTGCCCCGGCTCCTGCCATCCCTGAGTCAGAGTCAGTCACCGGCGTCACAGTTCCCTCGGTCACCAATGCCTGAAACCTGGACCTCAGCCTGCCGCCAGGGCCTGGGCTTCAAGTTCTCCCTTCGCTGGTGCCTGCCCCGCTCTGCCCCTCCACCCCTACCCCGCTGTCTCTGCGAGAGCCGTCCACCTGGTCTTTGCAGCCCTGCCCTGCTGTGTCGCCGTGTCCTCTGTGGCCCTAGCTAGTTTCTGAAAGCCCAGAGCCGACCCCATGGCGCACCGTGTTTGGCACACAGACCCAGGGACCCTCCCTGTCCTCACCCACCCTGGATCCTGTTACCTAAAAGATAAAGTCCAAACTCCAATGCCCAGCTTTCAAGGACTTCCCGGAGTCTGGTCCTAAGCCACCCATTCAATCTGATTTTGTGCTATTCCTCCCATGAACGCTAATTTCCAAGCAAACTTTCTGTTGCCCCTGGATAAACAGCATGAATTTCTACTATTGTTCCCTCTCCTTGAAATGGGCCTCTCCCCCAGTCCTGGTCCCCTACTGGGTCCAGGCCCATCTTTGTACACTGATTCCTTGGGACTCTCCTTCAGCTTGGGGACACTGTCAGAAACCGGTCCATGTCCAGTGCTCCCCTGCCCTCCCTCAGGGCTCACATCCCATCAGGTGCGTGGAGTGAGTGATCAGTAGCGTCACTAGCGAGGCCTGGCTTTCTTATCTCCCCAGGAGAAGAAACTCTTCCCTTTCAGACCGAAAGCTGAGGGCACAGGCTGTCTCCTCCCTCAGACAGGGGCTCCCTAGAGGCAGGGGCTGCATCTCTCCCACCAGACAGAGGGGTCCCTGGACATAGGGGCTGTGTCCCCCACCTGAAATGGATGTTCCCCAGGCTAGGGACCAAACCGCCTCTTTCTGAACCTGTAGGAAATGCCCAGAACCATGAACAAAGACCCAGAAATATTTATGAAATTGCTTTATTCTCTCCCACACAGCTGTGCTTCCCACAGACATGTACACACACACAGGGACACACAGCAGAGTTCTCCATTCAGCTGCCCACAGCCAGCTCATGCCTGCTCCTGGGGTCGGGCTCCAGAGGGCAGGAGGCAGCCTGAACGTCCTCTAATAGAGGCTGTGCCGGGCGCAGTGGTGGGCGCACAGCTGCCGGTGGTACTGCAGGTGGTAGTCCTTCACCAGCTTGCCCAAGACGTAGAGGAACTCGTCGAAGCAGATCTGATTGTCCTTGTTCTTGTCTGCTGCCCGGAACAACTCCGAGATGTAGTACGGCTCCTTCCGGCCCTGAGGAGTGGACAGGGGTCAACCACGCACGCGCCCAGGCACACAGCCCACCTGCCATCTGCTGGGATGGAGGGGCAACGCGGCATGGCCCCGCCCACCAGGGCGTGCAGGAAACGACGCCTCGCTCCACTGGTCCGTGACTGGGACACCGCACGCTGCGAAGTCTCGAGAGACAGAGGGGTGGCGAGTGCCTCAGGGCACTGGACCTGGAGCAGTGTGGGTGCGGACGGAGGAGGCAGCCTGGGCACCACTCCCTGCTTAACTGTCTCCAGTCCCAGCGGCCCGGCATCCCCAACACCCTTGACACCCGCGTCAGTGGCTGTTTCCAGCCCAGCACGAGCTCCCGGGAGAACACCCCCGTTGGGGCTTCCTGAAGGCAGGCGGCCTTCCCCCTCCGCAGCGGGAGCTCCCCAAGAGCAGGGTCTGCCTGCCCCTCGCCTCTGCATTCCAGCACCAGTGCGGGGCCAGCACCAGCACCAGGCAGGGTCCGAGGTCTGTGTGTGTGCACGTGCCTAGGAACCGTGTGTGGCGCTTTGCCTGTCACCTACACAGAGTGCAGAGTAGGGGAGGGACAAGGCCGTGGGCCCTGGGGCCATCCCTGATGTGCCCTGAGGGCCGAAGATTGGCCACTGGAGGTGGGAGGACAGCGTGAAGGAGGCAGGGCCAGGGCAGAGGCAGGTGGGCACGGGGCACGCTGGGCAGCGGAAGGGGTGGGGGCGGGGGCAGGTCCCAGCAGGATTCGGCTGCCGGGTTGTCCAGTGTGGAGCCCTGGGTGGCATCTGAGGCAGGCAGCTGTGCAGCTGTGAGCAGCTGCAGACCAGTAGGGCAGCCACTTTGTCCCCATGGGCAGGTTTGCAGCCTCCCTCTCCCCTACTGCCCACCACCACCACCCGTTCCTGGGACCTCCTCTCCTCCACAAAGCTGCTAAACCAGAGACGAGCTGGAGGCTTCCCTCACTCAGCCTGCCCTCCCCTGGCTGCTATCGTGCCCAGGTGTCTGTCCCTGAGGGCCCTGTACTGGGAGGGGCTGTGAGCCCCATGAGGCAGGCTTGGGCGGTCCTGGCACCGTTTGCCCTGGAAAGGACAAGGCTTCCTGGAAACACACCTAACCACAGTTAGTCCCCTCGCTACAGTCACACTCCCTCCCTCCCTAGAGTCACACTCCAGTAAACAGAGGCAAGACTGTCTCCTGCGATGCTTCCCAAAGTTGGGAGGAGAGATGGGAAGTGGCCAAAGGAGAACATTTTCCTGGAATGGAGTGGCGTTGAGTTGGGGGGTGGACCTGAAGTCCTCTGGAGTCACAGTCCAGAGACCGAGGGCATGGGACAGGGGGCAGAGGGCAGCACCCCAGACGCACCTGTGGGCCTTGCAGTCCCCAAGGAACCCAGTAACCACGTGTCTGGGCTGATGACAGAGGAGATGGGCAGGGCCTGGAAGCTATGTTTCCTTCTCCTCCTGGGTTGGGTGGCCACTGAAGCTACACTATCCCCCAAGGCAAGGGCCTGAGGGCCAGGCCGGTGCTAGCCCAGAAGGGACCGAGCTCAAAGGGCTGGGTGGTGGCAGAGGGTTGGGGCAGAGACAACCAGAGGGGCCTGTGGGCAGAGGGGAGGTTTGGGGCCGGCACTCAGGAGGCAGGATGGGCAGTGGAAGGAACAGTTTTGGGGTTAAGACGGAGTTCCAGGGATTAGCTATGCTTGGCTGGAGTGGGGCCAGGGAGGGATGAGAAATAAAGCTGGACAGGGACCCATCTCCTCCTCTGGCCACAAATCCTGCCCTTGAGCACTTCCTCACTCCTCCTCTGCCCTGAATGGAAGACTCTTCTAGGAGATAGCTTCCTCTGCCTAACACCCTCACCACTCACAGAACTAACCCTACACCAGCGCCCTGGGCCAAGACCCTACGCACCATGCTCTCCATGAAGCGGGGAACGTTGTCCATGAGCAGGGCCTTAAACTCCTCCAGGGACAGTGTCTCCACGTCACCTTCCCGGGCTGCATATTGGTGGTAGCAGTGGATGATTTGGAAGAGGGATTCTTCCACTGGCGTGTCTGTCATGACAGCTGGGCCCCAGCCCAGGGCAGGGGGCAGATCTGGGGATGCAGGGGTGGAGCAGCTGGGAACAGTGGAGAATCTGGGAGGAGTGAGCAGTACCTTATTTGGACCAGCCCACAGCAGATGGGTGCTTCCTCCAAGAACCTTCTGCCCTCTTGTTCCTGCTCACATTCCCGCTCCTTGTCTCGGGTCCGCTCTCTGCACTCCGTTTGATCCCTTGCAGACTTGACTCAGGGTCTCTGCCCTGCCAGAAGCTTTCCTGCAAAATCTCAAGGCAGGATCTGTCCCTTTGCTGGGACCAAGGGCCTCCTGGGCACCAGAGCTGCATCCTCCTTCCCTCCCACCTACTCTCAGCTTAGCAGTTACTTGAGGCCAGAAATGAGGAACAACTAAAGACTCTTGAAAGCAAGACAATATTTACGTTGTTTCCAACTGGAATATTTTTAAAATCCTCGAAAGGGCAGAATCCCCACGAATATAAGCTGTTTTGTGCCACACACAGAATATTAAAATCATTATTCTGCCCAGAAAACCCAGCCCTGTTTGTGTTGTCATTGTCGCCGTATTTCCCAGTTGAACGTACAGAGAACGCGTGGGTTGCCACCTTTGCTCCTACCTCTCTGTGCGGCCCTCTCTAAAAGGAGGAGACAGGCCATCAGCACCATCCCTTCGGCCCTAAGATCCCGTGGTCCTCCCAGAGGCTCCGTGCAGCACCCGCCTGTCGCTCTGATGCCTGTGGCCCCCTCCCCGCTCCCTATGGCGATGAGAGCCCGTTTTCAGGAGTGACGTCAGCTGTCCTCCCCGGGTGCTGTGCAGCAGAATCACCACCGCTGCTTCCACCTCTTACAGAGCCAGCCCCACGCCAGGGGAAGCACCTTATACACGTTATCCCACTTCATCCTCACAATGGCTTTAAGAGGTGGGCATCATTACCCGCTATTCTTGAGGGGGGAACGAAACCCAGAGAGGTTAAGTAGTTCCCCAGGATCACACCACTGATCCACCTGGTGCTTGACTCAAACCGTGTCTTTGGGAATAGGCCCAAAACATGCTTTTAATTTAGGGTTCTAAACCCCTTTTGGGCCACAGTTGTGCTTTGGGGACACCCATCTACACTGTACACATTCTCCAAAACAGGTAAACTGCCCCTCTCTGTTGTCTACAACCTGCAAAGACCCAGCACAGCCCATCCTGCCCGCACAGTTCTCTGGAGAGAGGCACTGACCTGTTGCTGGCGGGACAAGGATCCCAACCCACAAATCCAGCTTCCGGTTGATCCTGGAGACTTCCTGACGCTCAGGCGGGGGCAGCTGTGCGAGCTGGGAACCCACCACCAAGCCTCACATCCAACCCTTCCTCGGTGCCTCCAACGATGGCAGCCAGGGCTGTGTGACTCTTCTCGGTTCTTCAGCAGCAGGACTGAGCCTTAATTGCATTCCTGAGATGACATCACAACATGTACTTGCTAAGATTAACTCACCTAATTTCAACCCACCTTCCCCCAGAATCACAAAAGGTCACATTATCCATCTTCTGGCCTCAGAGCTCCAGCTCCAGGGCTTGGGTGGGGTCAGACACATCTTAAATACACCTTCCTGGGATGTCTTCCCTAAATTAGTGAACCCTCAAAGTCCACAGTCATGGAGCGTATTCATTCATTTATTCATTCAACAAATATCCTTGACTACCTACAGCGCACCAGGCCTTCTGCAAGCATTGTGAGTGAGACACAGGCCACCTCATTGGGTGGGGACAAGTGAGGGGACAGTCACACATTGTCACACTACACTGTGGACACTAACCAAATGGTACCAAACAGGGTGCTCCAGGCACCCAGGAAGGAGCATCTCTTGCCTGGATTGTTGAGAAAGACTTTCTTAGGGAGGGGATATTGGAGTTGGGACTTGAAGAAGAGTTTTGAGTTGCAAGGAGGAATGGAAGGCCAGGCACCCCAAACAGAGGAAACTGAATGGGCAAAGGCCAGGGGTATGAAAGAGCGAGGCCCACTCAGGGGATGGAGCCCACAGGGTGCATCGTGAGCAGTTAGAAGGAACAAGGGGGCAGGATGGAGACAAAATGAGAAGACCCTGTGTGCCAAACTAGAGCTGCAACTTTATCCTGTGCATGGAAAGAAGCTAATAGAGGGTTTTTTCATCAGTTGGGTGATGGGTGGGAGGTGAAAGAGCAGTGGTAGAACCAGCTTTGTTCATAATGACAACTGCAACATGGTAGCAAACCTGCTCTGAGGGGTGCCAGACCTATAAGCCTGGCCCCCCTACAGGTGCCACCTGGGCATTTGAGTGACAGGGACTCCCCTACCCCATCTCACCCCAACACAAGCCTACTCCCAGCGACCTTTTCCACCTGACCCTATCTCACCCCTGGCAGCTCCCCGGGAGTGGCCCCACAGGCTGATGTGTGAGTCTCCCAGAAGGGGGCGCCAGAGGACAGGTAATTGAACCAGAGACTACGTCTAGGCATCCCTGAAGGTTTGAGAGAAAATAGTCTGTAGATACCTAAGCCAACACCTTCTCCAGTTTGCTGGGTGAGCCCTCATCTACCCAACATAATGATTTCCCCAGCAAACAAGGGGTTCATCAATACACTTTCATGTTTCTAAACCAAAAACATGGCTCGAATTTCTAAAAAGTAAAACCATTTAGCGCTGCCAAGCTAAAGCCACTGATAATTTTATTGAATATCTTTGATCCAGCCATCATTCCCCTGGCCATTTATCCCAAAAATTTAATTAGGCAGATGTTAAAAGCAATAATCAGGAAAATGTTCATCACTGCAATATCTATAACCAAGGAACGAAAGTAAAACCCAGACCTTCAAGGTTGAAACCATCTAATTAACAAATTTGGTACACCAATAGGATTCAGTCTTGGACAATTGCAGGATGATAATTTGTCACTCAGAAGAAACTCCACTTCCGACCTATGGCTGGTGGGGGAGGGGTCAGGTGGCACTCCTCTTCCTCCCGCCCCCCACCTTCATTCGCTCCGGGACAAAACAACCCCCCACACCATGCCAACGCCCAGTGACGAGTCCTTCCACAGCTGTGCTGGAACCACCCCTTTTACTCGATGTCATGCTGTGGACATCGCACATGCTGAATCAATGCTAGCCTCATTTTTAATGAGTATATAGTGATCATTTTTTTGCATATATCGAAATTCATCTTATCGATCCGTCATTGGTAGACATTTAAATTATCTTTAGTTTACACATAAAGTCCACTCTTCCTTAAAATTGATATGTCTTCAGAGTTTTGCCATATGTTAGGTATTGGGTGCACCTGTGCTAGGTGCTGGGGAGAAAGGGAACAGAAATGAATTAAATAATATTCTACCTTCGAGAAGCTCGGGGTCTGGAGGTGGAGACAGACATCTAGACAAAACTTCAAGGTCATGTACTTAGGAAAGAACCACAAACATGGTGCCAAACATGCACCCCCCACTTCACCCCCACACCTCCAACTCGCAACCCCCACAAACACTCCAGTCTGAATGTCTTTCCAACCGTGGCGACCGGTCCCTGAAAGCAACACCTTGTGATATCCAGAAGCCACTTCAGCTTTTTCTGGTTAGCGTCAGAAAGGAGGTTTACCCCCATTTGGCCCCGAAGCCCCCTAGGGTTTTAAACAACTCGAGGATAGGTAGAGACCTCAAGAAGATCATATTCAGTTCCTGACTAAGAGGGCAGTGGGATGGGGGTGGAGACAATCGAGCAAGTACTTTAAAAATTAAAGAAATGCAGCCACCTTGGTACCTGAGATGATGAATCAGGTTATACTGGCTAAATATATAAGCTCCGTCTGGGATTTTTGCCACTTCTCACCCATTTATATCTACTTTCTACCTTACAGACCTATTTTGTCTTTAGTTTTAGAACAAACTGATATCCTAGTCAATGACCGCGGGAGTATCCGAAACGTGTGATGGATGGGCTGTTTGGGGCGTCGGGGGGTGTCTAACTTCACTCTTTTGCATGTGGCTATTAGTTGTTTCAGCGGCATTTGTTGAAAAGACTATTCCTTCTCCATTGGATTGGCCTGGCCCTCTTGCTGAAAACCAATTGACTATAAATGTGGAAGTCGCGGGCACTTTTCATTAGGGACTCTTAGCTTCACCTGTGTAAAGCTGGCTTCTCTCTGCTATGCCTGCACTCAGAGCCCGACGTGACTCTGCTGCTCAAAACAAGCTCCATTTCCTGAGTTCCGCAGCCTTGTGTGCAGGACCTTGTCAGGCTGAACCCTCCGGGTCTCTCCCCCATATCATGTCTGGAACAATCAGACCCCTAAACTCACGCCTGCTCCCCATCCCACGTCCATTCTGTGGGCCACGGCCGTGGGCTTCTCCAGCTGTTTTATAAGTGCTTTTTCAATGAGGACTATTTTTTAAACATCTCCCCAAATCCTAAATATCTTTGAGTGTTTGATTTTAAATAGCTACATTATATGAAATTTCAGAACCATTTTTACTCACAACACTCTGACACCCACTGTGTGGGGGTTTTGTCTCACACCAACCAGTTCTCCAACTCTCAGGACGCCGACTGGGTATCCTACAGTTCAATTCTGACACTAACTCCAGAGTTAGCACAGACCCCCAGGGTTAAAGACTCAGTCCCACAAGAGTGCCCCTCTCTTCAGACGCCAATCTTGGCACGTGGACCTCCCCTACTTCTGCCTGACTGGCTATAAATTCAGGGTTCCCATGAACCCCCTCCTTGGGTTAAATAATTTGCTAGAAGGGCTCGCAGAACTCAGGAAGGCACTTTGCTTACTATTACTGGTTTATTATAAAGGATGCGACTCGAGAACAGCCAGGTAGAAGAGACGCCCTCTCCAGGTGCCCCCGGTCCCAGCACTTCCCTGTGCTCACTAACCTGGGAGCTCTCCCAACCTTGTTGTTTAGGGTTTTCATGGAGGGTCTGTTATTTAGGCACAGTTGATTAAATCATCGGTCTTTGGTGATTGCCCCTGCCTGCCCACTCCT